TGCATCGATTCTACGCTCACTTGGCCTATCCTTGGGCGTACACGGAGGATACCATGACCATGATGGCAACTGATGTGCAAAAGTACTATGCCTTCATCAGATCTCAGGAAAACAGGCTCAAGGAAGCGGCGGAGAAAATGGTGCTGGGGGATGACCGGTATTACAAGAAGATGAGTTTCAGCGCTTGCAGCACTCGACTCGATCCTCTGGAAGCCCCCGAACCCCACACTGGCGATGACAGTGATGCACAATCTCCTACCATCGATTACTTTCACGAAGTATCACATGAAGTCCTGAATAAGCCTCTAGAGGTTTGGGAAAGAGAGGAGAGGGAAGGCAAAGAGCCAAGGATCAGCTACTGGCATTTCTGTCACGAGGTCATGCGTTCTTCTGGTTGATGTTGGGAGGTGCACTGAATTTTCACGATGATGATGGCGTATCGCTGCAAGTTACTATCGACACTATCGGGCTAGGAGCCTTTGGTGGTTTTGCAAGATGAATAAAAGACTCGCTGAACTATGAAGACCGGCATGAAAAGTGTTGTATCGGGCGTGGTAGGTATAGAGCCCCCGTCAATATCACTGCTGACCCTCACGTTGAGGGCCTCACCATCCTCGATTATGAACCCAAAATATGTTTCATGGCTTCCTGAAAAAATCTTGCAACAACCCCGTACACTCATCATGCCACGTTTGGCTTTCCGGCTCAACCTACAAATCCTCCTTTTGAAACACTCTGCCTCCCCAGGAGACCATATCAATATACTCCCTCTGAGCCCTCTTCTCAATCGCATGTACCTTCTGATCCTCCGTCAAATCCTCCACATCCAATTCCTCACTCTTCTCTCCCCACAGCGGCTCACTTCCCAGGACAATGACATGACCTGCGTACTTCAACATCAGAGTATTCAACACCAGGCGGCCCATCCTCCCATTTCCATCCCCAAAAGGATGAATGAAGGCAAATTTGTGGTGATATCTCGCCGCAAGCTCATACGGCTCGCTCTAGGCCCTCTGTTCCGTGCAGTCCTGGTTCAGCATATCGACAAATTCTTTCATATACGACGGCACGGCGTTGGCTCGATGCAGAGTGTCTTTTTTGGTTTCCCACCACCTTTTAGATCGTATTTCACAGCGGCCTCGTGGGTCCTGTATTTGCCCGCGCCGATCTCGTCATTTTCTTTGGCAGAGCGGCTACCTGTGCTGAGTTGGTTGCAGAGGATGCGATGGGTTTGGAGGATAAGCTCTTCTGACCAGCGCTCGTTTCGCAGAATGATGTGGTTGACAAGGTGAACCAAGGCTTCGGCGTGCTGAGCGACTTCCTTGTAGGCGCGTTCGAGGTCGGCGGACTTGCGACCGTTCAGGGCGAGATCGGCTAGGACGGCGTCACGGTGATGAGAGGGGGTTGTGGCTGTAAATTTATTGGACTCTGCTTCGGCGCGGTTGGGTGGTGGGTTGCGAAAGATCTCGCGACAGAGTTCGGCAGTATATGAAGTGTTGTGCCGGCAGTTTCGATACGATTGGAGCCGTAGATTAATGCGATGATGGAGGACTCCAAGGAAGCGGTGGTTGGATTATGGGACGGTGTGGGCAACGCGCTGCTGAGGTCAGAAATCCAACTGGATTCAGCACGATTGTTGGCCGACATTTTGGCTTTGTTCGGTGCTGTATGCAGTAATTTTAATGCGAAAAGAGCGATCTGTCTTTCGGTGCCCGCTGGTTGAATTGGATGTCTCTGGGCAGGTGACTGTTGAAGGTTGTGGTGGGCGCCCGCTATTTAAGCCTACCTTACCTACCTTACACCGCAGGTATAGTCATCGCAAGCCACATGTGCGCCTAGAAGGTGGTTTAAACCGTCAGAAAAGTTCAAAAATAAAGCCAGGATTTATTAAGGTTCATCTGCGCGAAGGTCTGGCTCCAACTATCCTAATGCAACTTTCAATTGACTTTCTCTTGGATCGATGATGATGATCGGTTACCATGGTATATCCGTGCCATCAGTCGCGGGCTTCTTTTTTTTGTTTTTTGTTTTTTTTGAGCGTAGGAATCTTGAGTTCTCTGCCTGTCAGAAGAAACTGCTCTTTTGTTCCGTCGTCCCTTGCGCTGTGCAGATCAAAGAGTCCTGGCTGCGAGAGCGACCTCTCTCCGTCTGAGCAGTCCGACCTTTTGTCCCCGCGGTTCTGCTTAGTGAGTTCTCTCTGGGCTTTCAGCATCTTTGTTGCCAGGATCAGTCCGACATCTTCAACAATCGTCCCTGCCGATAGATTGGTGGTATCCGGTCTCCAATTGTTGATCACTTGCAAAAGCGCCGTGCTCAGTTCCCCAGTCGTCGTTCCCTTCCATGGGCAAGCATAGATGACCGACTTGGCATATTTCTCGGACCTCTCAAAGCGATCAATCTGGTTGTCACTTTGCAAAAAAAGTGCTCCACCAGCCGCGCAGCAGTCGAGGACAACAAGCACATGGCACTTTGCGCTCCGAATCAAGCCCTTGAGATGAGACCACTGGAAAGATGCTTCGGGTTGGTAGCGTTGCTTGCTACAATTAGGACTTTAGTTGGAAGAAAAGGTCCTAGGTGGAATCATGAGTATGTAAGCACTCATATTCCCTCGATGAGAATGGCCGCCTGTGAGGCTTGCCGGTCTCGCATGTCTTGGTTCACACTATTGTCATGCTGCTCTGCATGAAGCCGAAGTAGAGTCAAAACGTCTGATCGGAGTCTCTTCATCTGCCTGGGGACATTGTGACTGAACAACTATCAGCACCTTGTGGCACAGTCATGCACACCTTACATAAGTATCGGCCAGTTACCTTGAGAACGACAGTCCTGTATTGACTGACCAGCCACCATGTGAAGACAGAATGATGATTTTGTTCCGAGCCTGGCCGTGTTCATAGACTGATAGGTGATATAGCACTGTTGGCCGTATGGAGTCCCATGAGTTCTTCATCGGAATGACAAGCACACTCGCTGTACAGCCCTTGCTTTCGAATGCCTTGTGGAGGTCATCGATTTCCTGATTTAGGGTTGGATGATCGGTGTAGTCGAAGCGAAGCAGTAGAATATCTGGTTGGAAGTGGAGTGCCCGACCAGTACCTGTGGAAATGGGATCCGCGGTAGAAGTTTTTCGCTTTCTTTTTGTCACTTGGGGTGTCATGGTGATGAGTGAGTAATGTGGTGGCCTTTCGCTCCGCAAAACAAATCTCTTCGGGCGATCAAATAGGTGAGAACAAGCTGAGCAATACTAGAGTATGACAGCGTTCAACAGTGTATTCTTCGCGGAACACTCGGGATATATAGGGCAAGTAAGGTTAGTAGGTATCGAAGGCTGCTAAACAGAATTCATCAGTCTGGAAGGTTCCTTCTGCTAACTCAATTAGTGTGTAACTGTTTAGGCCTGAGGGGACCAGAGCCGTTGGCTTGAGACATTAGAAGTTCACTGCATATACAGATACCAAGAAAGATGTATTGGCACGCCTCAGCACATTGTGAATGTCGAGTTTCTCTGACCTCTTCCCAATGAGAATCACGTGTGCCAGGTACAATGCCATATGCAGCTCTTTTTTTAATTCATTGTATTGCAGACCTTCATAGCGATTGTTCTACCTATGGGATGGAGCTTCTTCAACGTAAATCAGGCGCTCTCATGTCATCTCGAGCCCTGAACCTCGTCTCATATTTCAAAAGCCCCCTTGAACAATGCGTTGTCCACCGCTTTGGCCAGACTTCTTGCCTCTCAGCGCCTCCCATTCACCTTCCAGAATCCCAAACTCAACCATATCCCACCACCGCCTATCCATGTAGATGGTTTCTCTCTTTCTGCCCTCTTCTTTGAATCCCAAGCTCTTGTACATGGCAATAGCCCTGTCGTTGTAAGAGGCTGTGGTTAACTCGACACGGTGCATGCCTGCAAACTCAAAGGCCCAGTCAAGCGCCCAATTCACAGCCTCCTTTCCGTATCCATTACCCTGGTGCTCCTCCGCAATGCCCAGTCCCATTCTTGTCCAGCGCCAATGGTCAGTCTGGGGCGCAGTCGGCTTGCCCAGCATCAGACTGCCGATGGGGATGGCACTTTCCTGGGCTGCACGGAGATTGTTGCCCGGGAGACCGGGTGCAGCATCTTGCTGTGCCTGAGGATTGGGCAAGCAGATCAATACGGCTAGGAGGCTTGCCTCAAGTCCCTTTTGGACCATGACGCTACCGACGGTGCCGCTGAGAGGGGCGTACAAGGTAGGATCGCCAAATCCTTGGTTGACAGGGTCCCAGAGCATGCGGGCCACAAGGGGGATGTCCTGCATATCGATTGCACGATAGATAAGGCGCTCTGACCGGAAGGCCGTTGTAAATTTTGCCGTGAGGGACTCCATTGTTTGGTTTTTGTTGAGATATGGGTGAAACTTTTACTCAGAGAAGCTTCCACTTGCAGCAACATCTTGAGGCATCATAGCAGGAGCTTCTCGGAACAGCTGCTCTTATAAGCGACCAACGGTCTTTCAGGTCTTCTTTGCTGGTTTCTGTGTGCTGCATTGAGGTATACCTTGGACAGGGGGAACAATCTTAAGAAGATATCAAAGACACAATGGTGAAGGGCAACTGCAACCGCAATCCACGCTTGAAAACAGGCAAGCTATGACCATGATGAAATTACTCCTGCAGTGTACCAATCAATGCCACCGCGTACAGTTATTGAAGTGGAAAATCTTCCTCATTATTCAGACCGAGGTGCAGACTGTGCTGAGCACGCGCCAGGACTCAGGGGTAAAGTCAGGGGACATAAACAATGCACATGATTGAACCGCGAGGGGCACCTACACGAGTTATACTACACTGCAACAACGTGGTTGTGGTAAAACGAGAATACAGCTGAACCGAGCTCGGATTCCTAGAGCAGGGCCTTTTCGGGCTGTCGACACATGGGGGCCAAAGCATCCGCATCCGGACAAAGAACAGCTATCAACATCCCATTGCACGCACCATGAGCTTCCTGAGTGCACTAAAAATTACTCCCACCGGCGTACCCATTCCAAGACCTCCTGGTTGAATCGTTCCGGCTCCTCCCAGAACAACCAATGGCCGCTCTCGAAGACTGACATCTGGGCCTTGCTTTCCATGTTGACCCCTCTCCCATTCTTGACCCTCTCGACGACCTCCCTCATTCCTTCCAGCGAAAAGCATCCACTCCTTCTCCCAGCCATCACCAGTGTAGGCTTAGTGATCAACTCGCATGCTTCGCGGTGGTCATACCTTGTATGATCAGCCAGCAATCTCGCCAACCACCTCCCATCACAAACCCTGCTGATACTTGTGAAATACTCCTCGTCCTGCTGTCGCTCCTCTGGACTTCTATCGCTATCCTGGGAAGAAGGTTGGTAGCGATACCCCAGGCATTCGTCCACCAATCCAACATATGTCTCCTCTGGTCTCTCAACCCAGGCCGCTTGTGCTGCGAGCATGCTCTCCTCGTCATAGCAGCCCCTGTGGGCCTTTTTCTCGTCCCATTCGAATCTCAAATCCCGATCTTGAAGTGGTGCCTGGTCGACAAATAGAAATGAGGTAAACTCGGCATCCCCGAAGAGCTCAGTGTAGGTCCAGAGAATAGCGGCGCCGATTGACTGTCCAACTGCTGTGATCTTGTACTTCTTTCCAGGGTTGAGGGAATATATGTGTAAGAGAAAATCTCTCAAGTCAGAAGCTAGACGGGCGACGTGATATCCTCCTTTGGAGTGACTGGACCGGCCATGACCCCGCGTATCTAGGCCGAGCACCCAAGAGCGTTCAGAGAGAGCAGGGAAGTTGCGGGTGAAGTAGGCGGAGGAGCCGGAGAACCCATGCAAGAAGAGAATAATGCTGTCGTTGACGGGTGAGGGGCTTGGTGTGAGGGGGGTGGAGGATTGGAAGGCTAGGGTGGTGCCATCGTTGGCAGAGAATGTATAATATTCCATCGTTGCTTCAAGAACACCTTCAACCTTGGTATGGTCTCTCTTGGTGTGATGCTTGACCAATACGGAGTATTGACTTTGCCACAGCTTGGGGATGAGGAGAGCAAGGCAATTAAAGTTGCCCCGCACTGGCCCCACCACCACTTCTTAGCACCACAACGCCAAATTTTGGGGGGCTTCACTTCCAAGCAACCACTGTCATCACCAGTAACTTTGACTTTGCAGTCGCATCGCCCCGATGGCCTGGGTATACGAAGGTTCAATGCCTTTTGTTAAGTTTTGGTTACTCTATGGCACTTGCGGTTCGCAAACGCGCCACACAACTAACCAAAGCGGCGCGTCGTGGTAGCGCGTCGAGCTGGAATCAGTTGCGCATGACCCCCACCTTGCCCGCATCACTGGCTGGACGGTAGTCCTTTGGCAGCAATAACGTTCAGGCAAGGTATGATACGGCATTGAACGTAGGTATTTTCGTGACTTATCTAACGTAAAGTAAATAGAGCTATAAGACTTTAGAGCTTTCACGCGTCAAAGTTTGTTCTCAACCCCAAACCTCTCTCGCCATTCTCCCTTCACTGTGTCAAGAAACCCATCTCGCGTCAGGACATCAACAGCCACACCCGCCATCCCCTTGCCCACCCTCAAGGCTCGGTCAAAAGCCCACTTGGTTCCCGCTGCCTTCTCAAAGTCGGCACTATGAGGGCCACCTTTTTCCGGCCCGGCAGGGATCGCAAAACTGACATTGATCGACGGCAAAGCATGGCTGATGTCCCCCTGATCGGTGCTCGCCTTGACATACGTGTACCCTCTCTCATGAGCCCGCAATTCCGGCCCAACGGGATACGGGTCTGGCAGTGAGCTCCAATGTTCAGCAAACGAAGCGGCCAAATGCATGTTGGGGACATGATCTTTGTATCCCTTGATCACCTTGATCCCCACAGTGCAACCAGTAGCCTGAGCACCGGCATCAAAGCACGCGCCGACTTTGTCAGCCAGCGTATCGACACGGGACGCGCTCGAGGATCGAATCGTGCACACAGCCGACGAGTACGCGTGGATAACATTGGTAGCATCTCCCCCGCCGTTGGTAATGGCAAAACCGATGATGTCGCTCGGCTGCGTCTGTTGACGCAACATCGAGATGGAGTTGTAGGACGCCACCAGCGCATCCAAAGCGTTGATTCCCTGCCACGGAGCATTGGCCGCATGGGCTGCCCGGCCAAAGAATTCCACCTCAAGTCGGCAGAAGGCTGTGGTTCGAACAAATGGCGAGTTGTTCAAGATGGAAGGGTGAGATATGAGGGAGATGTCAACCTTGTCGTAGGCACCTCGGTTGAGAAGCTGGATTTTACCCCCGTGGTACCCTTCTTCTCCTGGGGTGCCAAAGACATAAACCTTTCCGGCCAAAGAGTGCTTCTCTATGATATGGGCCGTCGCGAGTGCTCCAGCGAGGGAAGCAGAGGCGATAAGGTTGTGACCACAAGCATGACCAAGATTGGGGAGGGCATCTGACCAATGTCAACATTATGAGCACAGAGGCGAGTCCAAAAGAGGTCGACGTACCCATCTCGACATTGAAAGAGACAGCTGGTCCCTTTCTGCCGCTATCGTAGACTGCTATCCATGCTGTCTCGATTCCGCAAGCAGACGACGTCACTTGCCAGCGCTCAGGCCGCGAGCGCATAAACTTGGTGAGAGCTTCATGAGCCTTGAACTCCTGAAAAGCCGGCTCAGGATTACTGTGGATGAACTTGTTCAAGTGCCACAGCTTCTCCGACTGACTGTCGACAAATGAGGCAATTTCAGCCAGATGGTCGTGAGGGCCCTCATGCTGGCGAGTTGGGGCGGTGTTGGCCGCCGCGTGGCTCTTCTTGGTGATCTGGCTTTCTCGAGAAACAAGGACAAAACCGTCCTGGGCCATTCTTTCTCTGGCCGACTAGGTACCAAGCGTTGACTAGACCGGACAGTCCTGGCTCATTAGTTGGAAGTTGAGTGGAAAGCCGTCACGGGACTCTGGCTGGTGTCACGATTACGACCCGACCGGCGGTTAATCTTGGGTGGTACCCTGCCAAGCCGACTGCCAACCGGAATGCGTTCCTCCGGAAGCTGTCCTTCGTGGATAATTCGACCGGAAAATACCGGCAGTTGGCGACCTCGTCTGCGTGCTGCTACCACCTTAAAACGTGACGCCGTGGCAGGCTTGTTCCGAGAGGGCTGTTAGAGTTATTGGAGAGACAGCAAGCGACCATGGCCTTGACGGAGAAGCACAATGTACGGACCACACTCAACTATTGGGACGACCCGGGAGATGGCTTGCCCCCGACCCCCATCTTCATCGGCGAAGGAAAGGTGACGAACAAGAGGCCACACCTCCCTCACGAGTTCACCGTCACGGACATAACAGGGGACGAAGACGACTACCGCCTGGATACCCATGGGTTTCAGTACTGTCGGCACAAGAGTCAAGAGGAGGAGGGCTTCACCAGTGAGGAGTCGATCAAGTCAGTCTACTATGAGGAATGCAAGGAACTTCTGAAGGACATCACGGGTGCCAGTCACATCCACATCTTCAACCACAAAGTCCGCCGAGGTCCAACACAATGGCACCACTTGGGGTTCAACGGCAAGAATCTCGCCAACCGTGGCCCAGTCACCAGAACACACGTCGATCAGTCTTATGTTGGTGCCGAAAGGAGGTTGAGATGGGAGTTTCCTGATAAGCAACAAGCAGACGAACTGATCACGAGAAGATATCAAATCATCAACATATGGCGCCCGATTCAGACCATTCTCAAAGATCCTATTGCTGTGGCGGATGCAAAGTCGGTTCCCGACTCGGACCTGGTGGGGGCAGAAATGGTCGAGGACGGCTTTCAGGGGGAGTCGTGGGTAGTACGCCACAACCCGCATCATCGGTGGTATTTCAAATATCGGATGACACCCGAAGACGTACTCCTCATCAAGTGCTTTGACTCCGATACGTCAGTGGCACGCAGAGCATTGCACTCGGCCTTTGAGGACCCGGACTGCCGTGACGAGGAGTCTCGGCAGAGCATCGAAGTTCGGTGTCTAGTTTTGTACTCAGATTCGCCATGTGTACGTGTACACCAAGACCCGAAAAGGGGAAGTAGATAGTGTGTCAAGGAGGGAGCGAGCCTTCAGGGTTGGTTTCCGGGCCTCCGGATAGTCTGCTTCATAAAGGACCCCAGTTGCAGGTAGATAAGCCCAATATCACTTTCCCTTCTTGTAATCTTGATTGTTCCTCTTACAAACTACGGACTGCAACCCGCCCGACGATGTAAACACACCCAAGATGCGGGGGGCGTCAGGTGTTGCAACGGAAATGCCGATCGGTGGAGAAAGACCCCCATCAATTACTATGGGAGAATCCGGCAACGTACCCTCAGGGACACTGGAAGTGTGGGGTAGGCTGGGAAAACTAGCTCATTGACTATATGCTTCATTTGACTGCAATAGATGGCCTCCGATTCGCGCAGGGCTAGGTACTAGTTGAGCTAAGGTCGAGGCAATGGTCCAACTATTTGTAGCCCAGTCTGTCCCCCGTGAGTTTGGGAAATCTATAGAACAGAGCTGGTAAACTTCTCAACCGCCCACATATCATCATGGCTCCTACCACCGAACCCGTAAAGACCGTCGAATGGCAAGGCAGGCAGGTTCCTGTCTGGCCCATGAGGACCATCAAGTACGATCTGCTCCTCTCGCAGGATCCTGAGGAGGTCGAGAAGGTGCTCCAGGCTTGCCTTCAGGATGGTTACTTCCAGCTCGATCTCGACAGCATCGACGGCCGTCGCATGCTCGAGGACCGTGAGCAACTTCTCAAGCTCATGAACCGCTTCTTTGATGCCCCCCTCGAGGCCAAGAACGAATATGGCTTGATCGACTCCCATCTTGGCTACGAGCCTGTCGGTAACCGCACTGGCGCCTTTGGTGCTGGCTCCAAGGACGGCTATGAGATGCTCAAGGTCTCGCGAGACGAGATCCAGCAGGGCAGCCCTCGCGTCCCCTCCCCGATCAAGAACAGCGGCGATCTCCACCAGTTGGAGCAGGTCATCGGCAGCTGCAACACCATCACCAAGGTCATCTTGGCAGCCCTCTCCACCGGCTTGAACCTGGCTGGCAAGGACCGCTTCGAGAACTCCCACCGCAACGACCGCCCCTCAGCCACCACTCTCTCCATGATGCACTACCTCCCCGCTGAGATCACCGGCCAGCACAAGGTCGGCCACCAGAAGCACACCGACATCAGCTCCCTCACCCTCCTCTTCAGCGACCAATGGGGTCTCCAGGTCCGCCCCCCCGGAGAGTGCGGCGCCCTCGAGATGGGCTTCGTCGAGCCCCAGAAGAACTGCGCCTTCGTCCACGTCGGCGATTCCCTCCGCTTTGCCAGCGGCATGAAGTTCCAGTCGTGCATCCACCGCGTCGTACCCTTCGACCCCACCGAGCACCGGTACTCGATCGCCTACTTCCTCCGCGCCGAGGACGACACCATGTTCATGGACTCGGAGGGACGCTATGTCACCGCCAAGGACTGGCACGACCAGAAGTTCAAGGCGTTTACCGACCCTTGGTTCTACCAGGCTCAGGCGCCCAAGACGATGATTCTTGGTGGTATGGTGGAGGCTGGTGCTGATGACCCGGAGCCCGTCACCGCCTACGCCCCTCTTCCCGTTCAGATGCCCGCTTGAGTGGTGGGATGGTGACAGTGTATAATGTATCTAGTAACTTGACCGCACATGAAATTGAACATCGAGAGTAAACATTGTTGCTGTAGTGATATCACGCTGTATCCCCCTTTCCATTGTTGACACTCGCACCTCCCCAAAGTACCGGCATCCACTGGCCCTCGGGGTCCCACACATCACCTTCAGCAGCGATAGATGATAGGTAGTTAGCCAGCGTAAGGGGTCCTCGTACTAGATGGGATACCTAGCTACCTAAAATATCGGGGATATTGTTCCAGGTCGGCGTTTCTGTTCAGGTGGCAGGGGGTCTAAGGGAATAAATGTATAGTATTTCAGATGAAGCAGTTCAACGCTAAAGGGAACGAGATGGCGTGAGTATGGTTTCTGTTCAAATGTCATTGAGCTACCAATAATGTATCATTAGGTATAGGTGATCTCTCCGTAACAGCCTTGCTACTCGCCCTCTTCCGCCGGCGCACTTGTCGTTGGAGCCGGAGCCACGCTTGTGGCAGGTGCGGAGCTGGCAGGAGCTGTCGTCGTTGAGCCGCCTCCTCCGCCGCCGCCACCGCTATTATCCTTCCCGACCACGACAGCCTGCACGACTTGTCCCATGGTATTAAAGATGATATTCACCAAGCTCCCCAGCGCATCATACCGGTACGTCCTTTGTGTCAACCCGTTCCCTAGCTCCTTAGCCACACCAGTAAACGTCATGTTCTTCTGATAGTTTCCAACAATGCTGCTGACGATATCTGTTCCCTCCCCAGCAACCTCCTGCACAATATTCCCCAGGTTGTCAATCAAAAACCTCAACGTGCTGCCGCCCTGCGTGATAGTACCCAGCAAGCCATCCACGGCGCCAACAACAGAGTCAACAACGTCAGAAACGTTGTTCAGCAGGTTGATCAGCAGTGGGTTGAGGTCAAGAGATGAGAGGGTTCGGTTGACGATGTCGACCAAATGTCCCAAACGAATAACAAGCTCAAGCTCGGCTTCTACGTCAGAAATGGTGATGTTGACCTTTTGGATGCCAACCGCCACACCGACGTTGATGGAGACGAGGTTGGCGATTTCGGCGTTGAGGTTGACATCCGCTTTGAGGTCATCCACGTCGAGCTCGATGCGGCCGACTGAGAGCTCAGGAACGCGGAGATAGACGTCAGGGGGATTGCTTCCCGAGGGTCGAGGGGTGGTGGTGGTGGTGGGTGTCCCGCTGCCGCCGCCTCCGCTCGAAGCAGTGGATGGGGAGGCAGTCTGAGAGCTGGATGTTGCGGATGGCGAGGGTGCTTCCGTGCTGGGCTCGGCAGCGGGCTCTGATGATGGTGCTGGCTCGGCAGACTCGGTCTGCGCAGCTGAGAGAGTGATGAACAGAGCTACGAGCAGGAGGATAGCCCTGAGGAGGGACCAGCGCGAGGAGGTCCTCATCGTGAGCGGTGGAAAGCGGAGTCTTCGGAAACGAGTGAAGATGCCAAAGGCCAGCACGCGCAAGAGAAAGCAAAAGACCGTCTCACCTGGCGATGGGTGAGGTGTGTATGTCTAGTCAACTTGGAGGAATAAAAAGGCTGCCAGGCACATCGATTCAATGACTTGATTCGCCAGTGATCGTCCTGGTTGTTCAACACAATGCCCAGAAAGGACTTTCCGTCACGTCTTATTTGGGTGTCCATTATGACCTCGATCACTCCTTGTTTTTGCGATGGCTGCCAGCAAAAAGTTAAAATGAAACCACCATGAATCCGGTTTGTGGTGTTGCATTCAGGAACAACCAGATCCAAACTCCAAGCGTTGCTGAGAAGCGTCCACTCGGCATGTTTTCCACTGAGCTGGATGAAACCCTGTCAGGGGTGTTGAACTGCGGGCGGTCAGGGGCTCTGCCATGATTTGGTGCTTGCATCACAACGGTAATTGGCCTTGGCAGCCTGAGCTTGACTTTGAAGGCCTGTACCTTGGCATGAACCTCGTCAATAAGACAGCCAAATAAGGCAAAACCAAGAATCCGGAATATATGCATGCAGGTTGCGATCCAGCTTGATAATGCCCGACCGTGTCTGGGCACGTCCAATACCTCAGCTATCCATTTCTCTGCCCGCTGGATGACGATGTGGGAGGTGTGGAAACGCACACCTACTTGATACAGCTGCTCTTTGCCCACCTACCCAACTCCCACGGTAATCTGCTGGTTGTCTTCTGTCTTTGCTTGTTTCTTTCCATCTCTGCCAAGCCCCTCAAGAGTTGCCCATCATGAGAGACCTTTTCACTAGGGCAGCTGCCCTTTTCCTCCTCTTCAACCCCATCTATGGCGCAGATGATGGAGACGATGGGTACATCGGGTACCGACTCGACAAGCGCGGCGACCCCGAGACGGTAAATTACGAAACCGCCAACACCGGCGGTGTCCAGCTTGCCGAAGAGCCTGATGTCTATCTCAACGCTTCGGTGAGCGTCGGGTACATCGGGGTTGACGTGCAAAACCTCACGGCCAAGGTCAACCTCGACGCAAACGTCCTGAAGCTGTTGCACTTCAGCGCGGGCGTTGACGCGAGCATCAACCGCGTCCAGCTCAAGATTGAGAATGTCTCTGCAAAGGTCGAGCTGGAGGCGCGTCTCGGGAATGTTGTCAAGATGGTCGACGATGTGCTCAACAGCATCGATCTCAATCCCATCATTGCGACCCTGGGACAGGAAGTCACACAGATCATCAACTCCACCACTGACCTCCTCGATGGTGTTGGTGAGGGACTTGGAGGCGGAGCTGGGGCCGGGGAAGAGGATGCTGCAGGAGGCAACGCCAAACGGTCGTTCGAGGGAAGCCACAAGCTCGAGAGCAATGTACTTTTCAGCGTCAACGACTACACCGGCCAAGCACACAAGAACCGTGTCCTCGCACAGGACGGCAGCATCTACGACGAGTATCTCGACAATGACGGCAACGAGCAGTCGCGGGTCGTGGTGGGATCATACGACAAGGATATGGAGTTCAACGGACATAACCGGACGATTGAAGAGGAGGGCAATGTTGTCGAGTTTGAGCTGCAGTATGATTATAAGCCCTTTCCCGGCGTTGAGGTGACTAGTTGGATCTTTGTCGATACGACAGGCAAGGTGACCCGGACACAGGTTATCGCAGAGGCTCAGGGCGGAGGATCAAGCACCATCAGCAATGATGCGGATTTGTAAAGTGATGCAGGGAAATTTAGGGGCTATTGTAGCGTCAGCTTAACCTCATTGTAATGAAGCATACCGTTTCTTAACCTGCGAGGACGCGAACACCCTTTCGGTCGCTCCCAGCTACTATGTGTAGGCGGGGCATGTAGTTTGTGGGTTAACTGACCCCTTTGTCGTCGTGGCGGTCGGCGACTCGGCTTGCGACCGGACGAGAGCATTGCACATGGATCTGTACTCGAAGATAAGATCGTTACTGTCGTTGGAGGATGCAGTGATAAACTCGGGAAAGTCGGTGGTGGCTGCTCAAACATGCATGTGTACGGAAGACACCAAGCGGGCAGGAGAAAAGCAGCCAAAACCCCGCCTGAACTTCATCCTCTCACTCATTTCTTTCCACACTTGACTTCAGATGGCATAACAACCTAGCATGAGACTCATAGTATTAGTGATCTTCAAAAAGCAATTGATCTTCCTCTAAGCAATGGTCACAGCCAAGCTGTGTTGTGAGAAATTGCTTCAACCCCTGAACGTGTCAACCCGTCGCGGCCCACAAACCTGGGGATGCGGGGTGCGGGGGAGCCAATTGCGGAGAATGGCGGGGTCATCTGGGTGGCTTCGACTCTTGTTTGCTCAACATGCCAACATCGGCCTGGAGACGGGCATAATTTTCGGGGTGTATTTTTTGGTATATCAAGTAGATATGCTCAATCATGTATTCTTGGGGATCGTCTAATGAACTCGGCAGCTTTCAGGGTTATCGGGTCAACGCTATCAGGAGGAGATTTTGCACCGCGGACGCTCCTATGGCGACCTCACTCACCACTCAAGCAAGACATGTTCAGACTTCAACAGCAGTTGGAGATTGTTGTCACCGCTTTGCTATGGTGTCAAAGTATCCCTACCGCCCGCTCAACCTACCACACGAACCCGCAACAGGACAATATGGACGGGGTGTCAAGTCGATTCAGCAGGGACACATAGTGGTGGTTTTGTTTAGGGGTGACTGCCCTTTTGTTTTAAGAGAGGATGGTGTTGAAAGGGGCAAACATAGGATTGTGGGAGACGGGTACATGGATGGGTTTATAGATGGAGAGGGCATGACGGACGAAGTGGCTGGCCGAAATCTAGAGTTCACGATTGTCTAGCTACTGAGAGGGAACCTTTTCTGAGCTGAGATGTTTTAAGCATGGAAAAATAGACTTTCAATAAATTTTTGAAGCTGGAACACTAGGTCCCCATTTCACCAAAACTCCACCTTATTCTTGTCACCAAGTCCTATTCCCAAAGCCAATACACAAGCGCCGAAAGCCCATTTCCAAGTCGTTACAACGTACATCGTATTCTCGTAAGTATTTTCGAGTCTTGTGTACTTGCTGACCCTGTCGATAGCAGGAATTATCAGCACGTTCCGTTCGCACAGCAACTCGGGCCACGGCAGCGGTTTTCATTGCACTCCTGTACATTTACCTATTAGTTACGGCTAGCTGGAATGCGCGCCTTCCTGTGGAAAGGTTGAAGGTACTTACACAGAGCGCCCGCTCCTGAAGCTTCTCCATGGTCATCTCCGGTGCTGCTGCCGCCAGGGCAATGAACGTAGCGAGGAAGACGATAGCGGCTCGCATGCCGGCTGAGTGGAATTTTGTCGTATTAACAGTTATTTGTCGGTGGATGTATGCCAAAGGTGAGAAACCGAAAACGCATTAAAGGCTGTCACGAAGCTGAGAGTACAAAGATAGTCTCAACATCAACAATACATCAGAACTGAGACACCTGACATGTCGATATCGACATGCCCGAAGCCAAGGACATGTTCAACCTTAAAGAACAACGCCCAAACATCTGACGTGTACACCCTAACCAGGCTGGCGGTTCAAGGACGTAGTAGCCGCCGAGGTCTTGGTTGCGCCTCTGAACCCAGCCAGGCTGGCCGCATGTGGCCGGCCGGCGATCCTCAGGCCCTCCCGCATCCCGGGAACAGCAACCACTGGGAGCACTGCAAACCTACGCCAAAGTCATTTTATAAAACATGACTACCGCCTTCTGCTTCCATTTTTAATCTGCGATCAGTTCCAAATCCCACGAACAGAATGGCAGAGCTAGCACAGCCCTATTGACAAGCCTAAAGCGCTTCCTTCACCATAGCACCTGCGTACGCACCTCCCAGCCTGCAAGAGCGCAAAGGTTGACATATGAAAAGGATTGTCCTGCTGAAGAAAAGATGCGACTCAGCCATCCACGTGACGGCGAGAGAGAAAGAGAAGGGTAAATGCCGGATCTGATATCGGAGCGCAAAATTCCCCTTGGCTGTGTAACATGAATTACCTCACCAATACTGCCCCTCTTTCTCCGAACCGGAGTCTGCGGGAGGATTCACGCACCCTTCGTCTTTCACTTGTTCTTCAATACCATACCATTGAACGTCGACATCAAGTATCAACAATGGCCTCTGTGTTCATCAAGGCGGCAAATGCCAAGATCAGGTCCAATCCCTGGACCGATTACTTTTGCTCGACGCGTAAGTCCACCTCCCTACCTACGTGACCTGGCCGCACTCAGGACCAAAAAACTGACCGGCGTCAATGCGTGCAGACTTTTGGGGCCCGGCTTCCAACTTCACCATTCCTCTCGCGGCCATAGCGGATACGCAGAAGAGCCCTGACTTGTGAGTGTTCACCATAACAGTGAACAGACACTAACAAAAGCGCTCAGAATATCCGGCAAGATGACCTGCGCCCTCATCGTTTACGCCTTCACGTTCATGCGTTTCTCGCTTGCTGTCATACCACCCAACCGTCTTTTGTTCGGCTGCCACACCATTAATGCCACTGCTCAAAGCGTGCAAGGCTACCGCTTCATGGATTGGCATTACTGGGGAGGAAAGGAAAAGAAGCTGCTTGCTGAGAAGGAGGCGGCTGCCAAGGGGCAGCCCGTCCTGGTGGTGAAGAAAGTTCAAAATGAGAATCATCTGGAAAAGAAATAGGTAAGGTATTTTACTGAAGAGCAATGGCTGGCGCAGAGGCCAACAACACTATAGCTCCATTGACAGAAAATACAACCTTCATGACTGTTCAATAGTCCAGTTCTTAATCCTTGGCTGTGCATTCTGCCATACTCATACCCTCATAGTCTCGTCAGCCAGTGACCTCCCAATCCATATTTTGTATCCAGCCTCGCTCAAATGCACGTGGTCTACCAAGTGTTCCTCCTTGACCTCCTCTGTCGCAGGAAGCCACAACACACTTGCTGGGTGGCCACTCGCAAAATTCTCTACCACTTGATGAATCTTTTCATTCGCCTGTTGAATCTTCTCCCAGGGTATATCCTTTCGCAAGAACAATCCCGTCACTAACACCTTACAACCCTTTGCTCCTATGTCCAGCAGGGCCTCAACCAAGGCCCTTAGAGCATCGACATCTCCATCTCCCAGCCCTTTCTTGGGGCTCAGGTTATTAGTCCCAACCTGTAAAACCCACAGCTTTACACTTCTCCGCGCGGCCAACATGTCTGCAACACTTTTGAGACGATGTGTTGGGTCACCAACCAGGCGGTAGGCCACATTCTGTATCTTGTCACCTCCCACTCCCAAGTTGAGAACTCGGCCTGCTTGAAACTGCTTGCTGTTATCCTTTGGAAGCATGGTTTGTGATGGCCAAGGCGAGACGAGGTTGGGGCCGCAGTTGGCGGTGGTGAGCATCCGTTCGATCATGGAGTCTCCTATGAGAACAACGTCAGGAGAGGAGGGGTTTTTTGCGGACTCGAGGAGGGGAATGTGGGAGTTGAGTGAGGTGTCGAAAGAACGTTGTTTGTATTTGGCAATAGTTTTTAGAGCGCTGCTGGCAGGAGATGGCGGAGATGGTGGCTGTGGCTCCATCGTCGTGGTTGGTGTAGGTTGAGAATCACCCAAAAGATTGTGTCGTGTACCTGGGGTAAAAAAAGGCTGATGGTATTAGACAATTAAAATGATTTGGACTGAAACAAGGCGCCATGTGCTTATAGCTCACGTTTGGGCATATCCGTGTTGAGAGCAAGAAGGAGCAACCCCCCGCAAAAGCTGGGTTCGGTGTGCCCTGGCCGCGGCCACTGAGTCATCCGCCGAAAACCTCGCCACACAATTGAGGGTTCATATGGCCAAGCTTCACGTCTTTCACACCAGGGTTCTGAAACTCTCTTTGGTATTGTTCTTAACATTTTCAATTCATTATCTCCACGGTAAAATCGGCCAGCAACTTGCCACTCTCAGGGCTGTCCCATCTTAACACGTCTGAAGATCGTCCCACACCAACCGAGCCTTCAATTCGTCGTGCTTATAGCCGAAACTTGTCCACAAGTCTTCAACTTCTTCCCCTTCATCAATTAGGGTGCCCTCCCACTCTTCTTGGGCATTTTTTGGTGTCCAATAAGGCCACAGAAACGCTTCATCCACTCCGGGCTTCCGGTAACTCTCCTCAACGCGCCTGCATGCGTTACCACAGCCAATCATCCCATCCAGATCTTCCACCTTCCCTTCCACATCGACGACGCAGATCTTTGGTAAGGGAGCAGGCCTAGGAATCCCATGCTTCTCATACCACCTCTTCTCGATTCTCTCTTCCTGTTCCTTTCTTCTTTGCCGTTCCTCTGCGAGTTCCTCCTCCGAAGGTGGATGCAAACGCCAGTATTCCTTGCGGGCGGCATACCAGTTACTCCAGTTTTGTTTGTAGGCCAAAGAAGGATCTCGAGGCCAGTACTTGAACTCTGGGAAGCCAGATTTATTCTTGGCAGCCTTTTCGAGTCGTCGCTTTTGGAGCTTGTCGTGTTGGATCATGAGCACCCTGATTTCCCAGCCTATAATTCCATGCTGCGTGACAGAATCATTAGGGATGATCTCGCCATCCGATGAGGTGCATGAAAATTCGGCCTTTCCGTCCCATATGCTTGGTGTTTTGGGTTCTTCATCATTACATTGGGGTTGATCCGTCGTCGGCACTGGCTCATAGTCGGACCATATGTTGTGTAGGCATCTGGTCCGCGGGCAGCCATCTTCTAGATATCCACAAACATCTTCGTAACTGACGTTTGATACTTCGTAGGCAAGGTCTGCGGGTTTGGTGCTGGACTTTGTGTAGAGTGTAACGCGAGTTGCTATGGACAAGACAAGAACCCAGGCGAACAGGACGATCAGATAAATCTCCCAGGCCGATAGCAAATCTTGGAGGCCATTATGCACAGCCCAGGCTATTGAAGCCATAACTATCGGTACTGCAGTGCTGGCGTAATGTCTGCATTCATCGTCTGGCGAGTTGGCTGTAACTTTAGCCATCATAGAGGCTTTGGGTTCTGTTAGGTACCTAGTGGTAAAGTTTGTTGTGTGTAGAAATGTTTGGAGTGTCTTAGGAATTCGAAAATATCATCAACTTTAGGAAAACTGTTCAAATCAGATCGAACATGGTATACCTTTTAAGGGATCACGCTCAATCCCACATTTCCATCTCCACAGCTCATCTGGACAATTGCATTGTGGCGGTTGAGACGCATACTAACAAAGGCATTATTGTTTCTCTTTGTTCATTGTTCACTTCAACCCATCTGGAAGCTGACCTATCACCATGTACTCTTTTGCGACGCTAAAGTTAGGTTACAGCATTTTCTTTAGAGATAGGCTCGCCGTACTATGCGACATGTCAATTCGTACTATGTAGGGCGTCTTTTTTCCCATACATATCCCTAATCCTACAGGTGTCACAACATCGTTCAATACTCCTTGTTTCCATCACACTGCAATACACCCATAACTTCCATTCCGCTCTACCTTTGTTATAATTAACGGCCTTTCTATTTAGCTTTAACCAACTTACCTAATTTACTAACCAAATCACTACTTATTCCCTTCCCCACTACCTTTAATAATTATAGATAGGTAGGGTAGCACCCCTAGTTTAACGGCTCAAAGGCGCGCCAGTAGGAGTGTCTCGAAGCATACTACGCGCACAACGAAGGCTCAGTATAGTCTCGCACTTATTCATAGCTTCAAAATTAACGGCGGGGAGGTGCGTTGTGGGTATGGATGATGGTAACGGTAACGGAGAGGAGGAACGGTAGGAGTACGACGGACTAAAAAGGGGGTATTTCCCATATAAAAAACTACGGGTTGACAGTCAAAAAGTACATTGGGCCTGCTCCACATAGTACGGATTGACAGGTCGCATAGTACGGCGAGCCTCTCTCTTTCTCTATTCCAACTTTTTGGGATTGGGCTTGTCGTCACATCACGCAGCACCGCAGTTTCAAACTCACAGCAAACATTAGTGATGTCACATCTCAAGTGCCAGATTAAACGGCTAGAGGCGAGTACTCTCAGTTGATTAAGGGGAGCTCGTTTGACCCGGTAAGCTGGCTAAGGTTCCATCACCATTTTGATGAGTTCCTGCACGCAATATAAACCGGGCAACCCCTATCAGCCCAATCACATTCATTCACGCCACTCACACTTCAACAGTCCTATTTTGGAGATTCATCGTCGATCAGTTCCCAGCATTGCGGGAAACCGGGAAGCAACTCCTGAAATTGAGGGCTTTCAACTTTGTAGGATCCCACGTTTTTTGGTCAGTAGCAACCAGGTATTTGGCAAACTTGGTACTGTCAT